CGGCGACGGTATCATCTCGGCGCGTGCGTCTTTATAACGAAATTTAAAAACAAGGGTAAGTTATCTATATATTTAATTTTTTTTAAAGTTTTATCATTAAATTTAGATGTGTGCTATCATATACAGTTGCATTTTTTAAGAAGTAATACATATTTAACCTTTTAAAACGGTATTGGTTTTTGCTGTGAGTGTAAACATAACCTGTTAGTTATTACAATTTCAAACATGGTACTTGTAGGGTACAAGCGGACGGGGTGATTTCGACTACCCGGTTTCACCCCGATTGATTTTATATGTAGGTATTGTGGGTGTTTATTTTATACCTCTCTTTAATTACTATTTATTTTTTTATTTTTCACAGAGTGCAAGCGACAACATGCCACGAACATATGTGAAAAATCAAATAAATTGCAATGGTCGGAATCAGACATGCTTTTAGCCATAAATTCGGTGATAGAAGGTAGAATGGGATATCTTTTAGCGTTACTTACATAAAGTGTATCAAAAGTTCGTTAGAAGATCGTGTAAGAGATCAAGTGTGAAAATCCAAAGACGAAGTGTTTAGAAAGTTCCCCGTTTTCACTGATGAGCTGGAAAGTATGCTAGTCGATCATATCAAAACTATGGAATCTCTACTATTTGAATTGACTATAACAGATCATTCAAACTAGCTTAAATTCCAATTAGCTGAAAGAAATAATTTAAACCATCCTTTTAATAGAGAAACTGAACTGGCTGGCTTAGATTGGGTTAGTGGATTTCTAAAACGACAAACTGAATTATTATTAAGATCACCTGAAGCAACGTCAGCTGCAAGAGCAATGGGCTTTAATAGATCTGTAGTTTCATCATTTTTTAATGTTTTAGTTACCCTTTATGCTAAGCACGCTTTCAATCCCACGGAAATTTTGAAAATGATTGACCTCTGTACCACAATACAAACCCGACTTCCAGGCACTAAAATGTAAAAAATAACAAAACGGGGATTTTCATTAAGAATAGACCTAATCAGATATTTTCGAATCGGTAAAAAGACGAGTAAAACTATCAGGAAGATTCGGAGTCTTTGGTTTGAGGCGGAACGTAAATAAGTCCACAAATGAATGGTACCAACGCACTGCTTAACTTAAATGGGCTCACGAAAGTTGCATCGGTTGTTCTGAGCAAGAATAATTATTTTTTGTATGCAAAAACTGCGAATAATTTGAATATTTAGTTTTATTATTAGGATCTATATTCGTCCCTAGAATATAAAATACCTATCCGGTTTGACCCAAAGGTATGGGGTGAATTCGGATTCATAATTTTTAATTAAAATTGTTCTATTTTGTAGTTATTAAGATTGATCTCAAACATTTTCATACCAAAGTTATGCCTAAGGTATACTTAAACGTTTATAATATTGATTATCTCAATAAATAACATAGTGATTTATTTATTGTGTCTTCTTCTTAACTATCCGGTGTCCCCCCACCTTCCCCTATATGTTAACCATTGTAACTTTTTTTGGTAAGTCAATAAATAAATAAATAAATAAATAAAAATCCAAAATTTTACTTATTTTATACGTTTTGTAATGTCGAGTATTTATTTTAGATCTAGAAAATCTACAATTGTATTTTTATATTTGCTCGATCTTTTAAAATAAAACTTATATTTTTAATTAAAAACGTTATCGGTGCAATTAAAATTTCCTATAGAAATCAATCCAGCCATGCTCGAGTCTCTATTATTCGAATGCTCCAGTAGTAATATAAGTATTTTTTTCTATTGAACGTAACACTTGACCTAGAAATTTAATCGTAAGACGTTAATCAACTAGAAAACTAATAATTTTCTCGATTTCCCTGAAATCGGTAATTTATACTCGTAGGTTTACTCGTAGGTTACCTTTAGTATTCCACGAAGTTAAAGAGAGTTTTGATAGGGAAAATGTTCGTTGAAATTTTCATTTCTAACTATCCTATACCCTGGTAAGAAAATAAGAATAATAAATGAATGCCCCCAGCGGGATTTGAACCCGTGATCGCTGGCACAGCAAGTACCACAACAAACTGAGGCAAATGTGTCGTCAAAAACAAGTTAACTTCCCGAGTGCTTTTCATATATGTACCTGAGATTATCATAATCGTAAAAATGTTTTATGATAATTGAACATATTAATATATGTATATGTAAATTTCTAATAGCTTATGGTATGCAAATATGTTTTTTTTTAATAATAACAAACAAAACATACTTTATTTTTTTGTGCTCACTGCATATTACTCGAATATATACAGATGATATGATCTACAATCACGGTAAAGCTCGACCTAATTCCACATATTGAGATATATGTATGTACATACAGTCTCGATTTTTCATCGATTCAACATTTAAAGAATAAGAATCTAGACGGTCAGGGTCAAAGTTGAATTGGAAATACCTCAAATGAACTTGTCGAAATGGTTCGCTGTTATATTTTTCTTTTCCATTAACATTTTATTTTTAAATTGTGTTATCTTTAGCCGATATAGGTATATCGTTATGTATCTCGAGCCATGAGATGTTGGCAACTCTAAGGACTCATGACTACATGCTATCAATCAAATGTATTATTTCCAAATTTTTTAACATTTAGAAAATAAATAGTAATTTTCGTTTAATGTATACTTAGCTATATAATCGTTGTAGTTTGCTTACGTATTACTAGATCTACTATACCTACACTTCTAATAAACATATTTGTTGAGATGTCAGTTCTAACCCAAATTTTGCTTATATGCAATGCACGATTGGTATAATCTTTGGCCACACGATGGCATGGCGTCGGCTACTTTTTATTTCGGTAAAGAATAAGGGATCAGTGTTTACCGGAGTTTCACCGTGGATAGATAAAGTGACATTGAGCATTTTTATTATCATGACATGCCATGAAGCCGTGGGTCACACCTAGTTTGGAATCCTTTCACTAAGGTATTTTTTTGTTCGATTGAACTTTGCTTTTAATAAAGTAGCCGGATTTTGGTTTGTCTCCAAGAATTATTCGATTCGATCGAGCTTATATATCATTTACGTTTAGGAATTTTTAACCGACTTCCAAAAAGGAGGTTATCAATTCGTCGAAATCTTTTTTTTTCTTTTTTTATGTATGTTTTTAGTCGGTGCCAGCCTACAATATTCTAAGATATGAATATCTAATAGGTAAAAATGTATTTTACGTATCGATATATTTGCTTTGCATCGGCTGGCACCGACTTCGAACATATCTGATTAGGTATCTATTCTAAATGAAAACCTCCGTTTAGTTATTTTTTACATTTTAGTGCCTGGAAGTCGTTTTTTATTTTTTGTTAAAAAGTTTTTATAAATATAAATGCATTGGGATTTATAAAACATTTTAAATTGCACCGAAAATGTGTTTAACAACTTCTTAATTGAAGCTTGCACCGTTATTTAAAGTGTGATGTATATTTCCTTGTTTTTATGATTTTTAGGTTGGTATCATTAGGTTATCTATCTCATTCGTGTCTTCCTCACAAAACGTGACACTGGCAGAATGGATTGCGTCTGTTAACGCAACTATAAGCCATTAAAGAAAAAAAATTCATTAGGTTAATTGAACATAATACGCAGCCCCATGACATCAATACCGCGAGCGTTTTCGTTTCGTATTATGCAATTCACCACTTTCTACTGTCTATCAGTCACTCGGACGACGTTTACAACGTAATATTCCCATAAAATTATACAATTCTGGCGTTCGTTTTCTTTAGTTTTTATGACGTATGGTTTTATAAACTTTCCTCTTGATCCTACATATAAAACAATTATTGTCCTGTTGATTTCGATTAACTGAATACAATGATTATATTAATTACTAGCATTGCCCGCGGCTCCGCCCGCGTTCAGATGACTGAAAATAAATTCTTAGGTTTTACAGATTAGTATATTCTTATATTGCAGTTTTTGCATTTTTTCTCAGAAATGAGATATTTTCCCGCGGTAAAAAGTATTTTCAATAAATTTTCCAAAAAAATATTTAATTTACAGATTCAGCTTAGTTACAATTTTATTATATGTATAGATTTTATTATAAAAATAGCGTAATATTATAATGTTAAATACATGTTTTATGTAAATTTAGTTAGTAAGCATTTATAATAAATAAATAAATAAATATGTATAGATGATAGATGATGGATGATGGACATTATATAAAATAATATTTATTTATTTCTTATTATTTATACACATACGTAATAACTAAAAGCCCTATTGTTTTCCTGGTGAGAACAAATCTTTATTTTATGTATTATCTCAGTATAAAAAAAAAACGTATAAATGCAGTTTTTTTATTTCCTTATAAAAAGCGATGGGTAGGTAATATGTAAGTAGTATGAGTAAGATATATGAAATAAACAGTTATAGGTACTTAGATTTGTTTATATTTGTTTTACGTGTCCTCCAAGTTCTGTACATGTGGGATTGTGACAATATGTGCATTGCGTTGTTAATGCTGATTCTTTAGCCAACAACGAGTTCTTTCCTCCACAACGAATAGAACTATTTTTAAAAAGAAAATTGCAAAAATGAGTTGTCAAAAGTTTTATTATTGGCTGTTATAGTTGTAACAAAGCTAGCCTCTACGTCCTTAGTTTAAAAAATTTTGTATAAAAATATTCCGTGCTGTTTTCATATGAAATTGGTTAATTCATTAAAGTTTTTGTAACTTTTATAATCAACTGCTAAAATCAACCCGCAAGTCCACAAAAAACGTACTGACGTGATTTAAATAAATTAAACAATTTTTAAAATGTGGCTAACATAATTTATTTATTATTCATAATATACTAACAAGTCGCTTGCTTTAAATATTTTCTCACAGTGCAAGTATGACGGCAATCTGTCCATTTGGCAAAATGAACCCAAAAAAAAAAACATTTTAATTTAGACACAATCCATTTATAGGCCTTTAATAGTTAAAAAATATTATAAAAACTATTCTCTTATTCCAGTTTCATCGAGCAAGACAAAGTATCAGGGTTTTGGACGTGGATGTTTGTATTGTCTAAGCTGCCCGAGCTAGGTGACACGGTATTCATCGTGCTACGTAAGAAGCCGCTCATCTTCCTCCACTGGTACCACCACATCACTGTGCTGCTCTACACCTGGTTCTCTTTCACGGAGTACACGTCCTCGGCGCGCTGGTTCGTCGTTATGAACTACTGCGTGCATAGGTGAGTAGTGTTCGAGTTTTATCTAATACGAGAATACTTGATATAAACGCCCAGGCAGTATCCAAGAATGCTTTTTTGTCAATAATTGTTTCAGTTTCTGCAAAAAATAATAATCAAAATAAATAAAGCGGTCACGAATATGTACCTAAGAGCAAATTATTTTGCTTGACCATACAAATTTTCATCCCCATTCTCACTCCCTTAAGGGATGATTTCCAGGATAAAAAGTATCCTATGTCCTTTCTCGGGTCTCAAACTATCTTACCAAATTTCATCTAAATCGGTTCAGTAGATCCAGAGATTACACCCCCCCAAAAAAACCACTTTATAATATAATATTATTATAGTATAGATATAAATATCTCATGTCACGATGTTTGTGGTCGCACACCTCCGAAACGGCTTGATCGATTTTAATGATTTTTTTTGGATATTTGATAAGAAGAATAGGTCTTAAAGTATTTTTCACCCTCCGACCCCCACCACCCATGTTTTAATCACTATTTTAGTATTTTTGTATGAACAATATTATTATATAAATAAATACCGAGGAACTCCCGAGCGAAACGAGGGTGAGTCACTGTATAACATAAACCCAAAGAGTTTTTACGTAGATTGAACGCGAGCGTAGTGCGAGTTCTGCTTAGTACATTTAATAAAAAAGTACTTTATTAGAACTATTAATATAAATTACTAAAAAATTTGTGTGTACATGTTGGTTACGCTTAAACGGCTGAACTGATTTGGATGAAAAGTATACATATATGTAGATGATAACTTGAAGGCATACTACATGAGCTAGACAAGCTGTTAGGCACCTAGCATTAGTTTAATAGCGTCCTTAAAGTATATGTTATGTTACTCATAATACAAATAAACACTTTGCTCAGTTAAAGGAAAATGATTTATTTCGCCGTCTCTTATTACAAGACCTTCCGTGACGATAATACATGTTGATAGTGTACTTACTAATTAAATTGTTACCATACATTATTTTAACAGTATAATAATAGCTTATAATTTACATAAATGCATTGTAAAATAAAAAAAAAACGTTCCTATTGAAATATAATATTAGTTCTTTAATGCAATCACAAATTAAGTTCTAGAAGCGTAATTCTTTTCATTAGAGTTGATTCATAAATAAGTAATTAAACATAATATAATAAAATAATGAATATGTTGGGACATTAACACACAGCACCATCTAGTTCCATGGTAAGCTACGTGGCTTGTATTATGGATACCAGGTAGTTGATACATTATACATATATAACTTTTAAATACATACATATTATAAATATAAACAAACACCCATGACTGGAGTACAAACATTCTTACTCATCACATAAATGAAAGCCCCCAGCGGCAATCGAACCCGCGACCGCTGGCGCAGCAAGTAGGGTCACTACAAAATGAGCTATACGTGTCGTCTATATAATACAATTATAAATATCGAATTATTATTCGAGTATAATTATGAGGATAAAAAAGAAAATAATATTGTTTTTAAATTTTAACCGTGTATTTACGAGTATACACCAACAATGTACTTTTTTATTTCGTTTTCATAAACAGCTAAGATAACATAGTTTCTGCAATGATGAAATGAAATTGTATATAAACTTAAAAAGTAGGTTATATTTTATCTGAACATCAAGCAATTGAGCTAGCGGTCCGTGAGATGCCGCTTTGAGACCTGAGACCTGAGACCCATTAAAATGATTGTCTATTTTATGATTGATGATGATTTGATTGTTAAAGTACCTACTCTATAAATGTACGAGCAAAGTAAATTTATAGGTACTTTATTAATTGTAAAATTGTAGAGCTTTTGGCAACATCATTATATATATAATTCTTCTGTACGTGTGTATGTCAATTGTCACTAAACTCCTCCTAAACGACTGGACCGATTTTGATGGTTTTTTTTGTATTTTTTCTCATAGTATTTGTTTTATTGTCGAAATCAGTTATACTGACCAAACGAAAAGCCAAGCAAGAACTCGGCAGGACAACGTCTGTCGGGTTCCCTAGTATTATTATATGAACTTATGAACGCATATATTATATGTTATTATATACGTTCACAAATTAAATATTTATTTTTCAACCGACTTCAAAAAGGAGGAGGTTCTCAATTCGACTTTATTTTTTTTATGTTTGTTACCTCAGAAATCCGTCATTTATTAACCGATTTGGACAATTTTTGTGTTGTTTGAAAGTGTATACTTCCAGATTGGTACCATTTAAATTTCAAAAAAAAAATACCACCCCTAAGAAGAATTTAACCTACTTCTAATCATATTGACTTGAAACTTCTTCAACGGCTTATATCGGCTCAATCTTCAACGGCTAATAGTAGATACTTTGAGTTTGAGCTTATTTTGTTTGATTTGACAAGCCTAACACGTTAGAATTCTGACTTTGCTACTACTGTCTACACTAAAAAGGAAAAAATAAAAACTTTTTAACAAAAAAATAAAAACCGACTTCAAACAAAAGCACTAAAAAGTAAAAAAAAATATTAAATGTGGCACTCGGAGACTGCCGCGGTAAAGCTATTGCATAGCATTTTTTATCAACTTATGCAATTATAATTATTTATTTATTTTATTAATGCAGTATTTTTTTTCCTTGACTTTCTTCATTAATAAATGCACTTTGTTTATTCATATTTAAAACACTTTGTACACAAATTATACGAGTACAGATATTCACTGTTGTACATAGATGATAAATACCTATACACCTATATACTTTCTCACAAACAGCTGATTACGGTAGTTTTCCAATACAACCAATGCCACCTAAAGGCGGGTTGCTGAATTATGAGACAAGCGTGATATTTCAAAAAGTCATTAAAAGTTCTGGTATTTATCGATAGATGAAAAACTAAAAAGCAGTGCAGGTCGGAGTGGGGGGTGTAAGTTTTTTTTCGTTACGGAATTTCTGGATTCGGTCCCCACGCTCAAGGCCCGTAATTACTTTGCCTAAACTTTGGCTAAGTAATTAAAGCCTACCTATTAAATACATACCTAATCAAATATTTTCGAAATCGGTGTCAGCCCATATAAAGCAAAGCACCACCGACTTCGAAAATATTTGATTAGATATGTATAGTAAATGAAAACTACCAATCAGTTATTTTTTACTTTTTAGTGCTTTTGTTTGAAGTCGGTTTTTATTTTTTTTTTATTTATGGACCGTCGAATATAAACGGCTTTTAAAATAAAATTTAAAAATGTTTCGTATTAAAAACATGTAATTAAATTATATATTTTGCACACACATATGTATATCTTTGAAATACTTTTGCCATAAGTACAATTTAGATTAGATATGTGTAATTAATTATTTTTTTATAATTGTAAGTCCATTATTAAACGATTAATTTTTATATCAATATGGATTATTTCTGTGATATCGTTGATCAGCTTCAGAGAGAAGGTGCGAATTTTCTCCAGCCTTAATGTTTTTTTTTGTTTGCATGTTACTAGATATGTTCGCTAATTGTGAATCGATTTTCATTATTCTTTTTTAATATGATCTACGTTAATTACGCTCTTAGGCAATTAATGAATGGCCCCTTATATCGAGCCCTGAGGGGCGGGGGAGGGGTTAGGGGATCTCAAAATCTCTACATGCCTTTATCTCGGGAGGAAGGTGGGCAAATCCATTCTTACGTATTTTATAAGTCGAAATGTGCGATTTCTAACACAGAGTGATGGATATTTGAGAGGTAAGCGTTGGGGAAAACAACTCTGTGATCTATTTTTTCTTTTTTAATGTACAATTTCAAATATAAAAATCTTTTATTTACGTCAAGTTACGAGTTTTAATGTAATTGATCCTTTTCTAAAACCAAATAAAATCTTAAGTAGAAAAGGGGAGGGGGAGTCCAGGAAATCTTATGTACTCGTATATTGGGGGGTCAAAAATGGTCAAATTCAAGAGTGCGAATTGCGTAATTAATGAATGGCCCCATACACAAGAGTGGGCCTTTTAATGCCTAGGCTAATTGCTATATGCGACAAACATAAATACATACATACGTACATACTAACGATTATAATGTACATATTATTAGTAAACAAATTACCAATTAGATGGTTTAAATGCAGTATTTGTATATGAAACTTCCTATATCCCTAAATGATGTAATAATTCCAAAAATTATTATAATTGCATTGAAATAATGAGATTTCTATAGTGCGGTTGTTTGTATCGGAAAAATACCAGCCACATACATCATTATGTATTTTTAATTCGTATCTATACGTTTGGTAAAAAATACTTTAAAGCTATTTTAAACTATAGGTATTTTTTCGACGGAAACGAATGTCTGTTGTGTTGTAACATATATGTTAGGAATCTTAGAAATTATTAGAAACTAGCGGCTCACTCTCGCTTTGCTCGGGTTCGTCCTTAGGTACGTTTTAACTATTAGTATAGAATAGGTAGACTATATACAACAGTATACGTATATAACAATATACATATATTATTTTTTTCTAACTTAAACTTAACGTATTGTTGTAGATGGTAGGTTCAACACTATTGAAAGTAATCCGAAGTAGTAATTCCCATAAAAAATAACCACTTCTGAACTTTTCGATTTTCCCGCTGTTCTTATGGGTTTTTCCTATTTTTTTATATTTAAACCATCCTTGATATACCTCCAACAAAACAAAAAAAGAATTATTCAAATCGATTCAGCCGTTTTTGAGTTTTAGCGAGACTAACGAACAGCAATTGATTTTATGTATATACTCTTATATAGATACATAGATATTATAATTTAATGAAATTAATAATTATTTTTAATTATGAAGAAGTAGCAGCTATGTAAATTGATATTGTTTATCCGTAATCACTAAAAAGTATCGGCCTCGATATCGACCTGACTAAAGTCTCAGTTACTGCTATATTAAGCGGGCATTCACCTCACGAAAGACCACTTATGTTACATAGTAATAACAAAAATATGTGATAATCATTTTTCTTTTACAGTGTTATGTACTCCTACTACGCCCTGGTCAGTATGGGAAAGTACCCGCCGAAGATGCTGGCAATGACCATCACAGTCCTTCAGCTGACGCAGATGATTGTCGGCTGCGCCATAAATATATGGGCACACAACTACATGACCACGGCCCCCCCTCACACGTGCCACATCAGCCAAATTAACATTAAATTATCGATGGCGATGTACTTTTCGTATTTCGTCCTCTTCGCCAGATTCTTCTACAAAGCCTATCTATCTCCAAAGCTCGGTAAGAAAGCTAAAGTAGAACCCCTTCCAGAGATCACCCCATCGAAAAAAGAGTACAACGGTTACCCAAGACAGAGAAACGGGGTCGTCCACTAGTCCGACTTACGATGTTATAGTATTGTACAGGTTATGAACGTTCACCGATTGAACAATTTCCCGATTTCCCGATTACCTATAAATGCCATAGTTTATGTTGTTTCAACATTAAGTCGTTGCAGAATAATCGAGAAAAGTATAGCCAATTGAAAACAGTTTTTTTATCAATCTTTTTGCGCGTTTGATGAGGGTGAGCACGTCAAGCGTGATATTAGCTATTTACTTGATCACTTATGGTAATCATGGTATCAATCGACTCCATTAACGTTTATGGTATGAATTATGTATCCAAGAGAAGTTTATAAGAAAATAAATTACGTATTACACTTGTTATATATTTCTTTAATAAACAATGTTGATTATTAATATTTAAACATATTGTGCACTATCTAATTACGTGATAAAACGCACGCAAAAACATGGAACACTCGTCTTTTCCATTATACCTGATAGTTAACTCGTCAAAGATCACAACATTTGATCTAAGGTTATATTAATCTTTGCTAAGATTGCTTTTGCTGATTCACTTGTTATAATGTGTGTATTTGACATGTGCAAAAGACGCACTGTACTATACTTGTTATTCTTTGAACATTTTTAATGAAATAATATATCGACGTTTATATAAACTCCGTAAGAATACGCTTAAATTGTTTCAAACATTATTATTAGCGTTATATAACTCCGAAATGTGGAAATCAAGTTTTTTTTATTGTTAATTACACGTAATTAGGTACTTCTTTGACAAAACATAGAATACCACGAATTTTTACTAACCTGTTCATTCATTATTTAGATAAAAACTACACGCCAGATGATTAGATAGTGATAAAATAACGCGTATAATACAATTAAGAGTAATTATTACATGACCTTGCTCCCTGAAATGTTAATTAAAATTAGGATTAAAAAATAAAACAACTCAAGGTCATGTTTAATTATTAATGAATCGGAAATTGTTGGTCGGTGCCGTTTGCTTTAGAGCGGTAGTCACGTGTTACATTCCATGCTAGGTCTCTGGTGTGTCATTGGCTTTTCCGTATGTGACAGTCCGCTCTTAGCGCTTGGAACTTCTACGTCAGTCCTATGCACAGATTAAACAGAACAGACCAAAAGCTATTTAAAACTTTTTAATCTGTATTTAAAATCTTAAAATTCTATCGCTTTAGTCAAATAGTGAAAGTAGTAAGTATGTAATGTTTCATATATATATATGACTAACAATAGCTATGATACTAATATCTTGTATATTCAAAGGATTTTAGATAAAGAAAATAATTAAAATTTCTATGTTTCCATAATAAAATTATACGTAATTCAAAGTTAATGTTTTTGGTGTCTATATAAATTGTCCATAGCACCGCACGTAGAAGCGAAACTCCTTCGTTGTTATCGTATTTATTACTTATAAATAGGGATTTTTGATGTAATTTATTTGTAACGGGTAGTTGTTACGACCTGTGGAGATTGTAGTGATTGAATTCTTCGTGACAACTAAAATTGGTCTGGTGGTATTTTGACTAAACCAGCTTTGGTTGGCAAGTTGATGGTATCCTCATTGTGACCGATAAATACTATCAACATTGGTTCTGAGTTCAGCCAAATTGTAACTTTTCTAATTTTATTTAATTGCACAACTCATAGCCAACGTTGAATGTATATAGCCGAGGACCTGTCGCCATTTCGCTTCGAAAAATTGATTATTTGATTTTTTATATAGTCATTAACACCGGGGATGGGTCATTTTGGTGTCAAGGTGTTTAGTTTTAATACTTTGAAACGCTTGTCAAACAAGTGCACAAAGTCTAGACTTCAGCTAGTGAAATAAGCGATTTTACTGTTGTTACAGCTTGTGGGTATTTAAATCAAATAGCTTGCCTAGAATAACTAATGCCGGCTGCACACACTCGCCGAGACATAACGAGACAGGTTGAAAGCGGGTGTGTACATGAAGGTTTTGTCCCGCTTTCTCTCGGCTCGCCTCGCCACCTTTCGGTCGCGTGTCGGTTATTTTGCGTCGAGTCAAAGGGTCGCATTCGGTCTTGCGAGGAAAACAATAACAAAAATGTACACACTCGTCTGTTATGTCAATTTTAGCAATATCCAGTTCCATTATATCACTGAGAGCCTCGAAAGCACCAAAAGCTCGAGAGTCAAGGCGAGAGGATCTCGACGAGTGTGTACAGCCGGATTAAAAGGCAGTTTGTAAATAGTTCGAACGAGAATAAAGCTTAAGTAAAGGTAAATAATTCCTATACATGGCTCGTGACACGTATTGCTTCAAATGTGCCCAACGGCATTATGTACAAAGTTTAGCATATTACATATGTATAAGCCCCTCCTCCCGTAACTAATTTATTGTAAATGCGTTTAAATTTAGAATCGTGGCATAGATGAGCCGTACGGTAGTAAATTTAAAACGTCAAAACAAAAAATCCAAAATGGCCTACATGGCATAATTATTGAATAGATATTTTTTTTGTCTGTGACAAAATAAATTGTAAATCCGATTGTGGTAAGAGGAGTTCTAATAATAAAAGTTCTAATAGTTTCCATTTGTAAAAAATAAAATTAATTAGATTTATTAAATAGTTGAATATTATTACCTCAATATAAATTATATTTTTCGCAGAACTTCTCTTATGGCAACCATTTTATAAAATTGATTATAAATGTCATTTGGTGAAAGCGATTGATTGTTATACTAATTATGTTGTTTATTAACAGCAATTTTTCAAATAAAGAATAAAAGATACTGAATGTACAAAGTGTGTATTGTTGAAAAGTGCAAAGAAACAAGTTCAAATTTCGCCAACTTTGATTCTGAATTTAGTTTTTAACTTAATAACAAACTAACGATTGAAAAGGTCTTTTATGTCTCCGTAGAACAAAATTGCATTATGACATATATAATTTTTACAGTTACTTTTGTAAAATTACTCATTACTTATCTTTTTAAATTATATGGATATAATAATAACTATAAAATCTATTTTTACAACTGGCAAAGAGTTAATCAATCAGAATATTGGCAATACTTTTTGATGCGATTTTGTTTTACAGTTGGTTGGTACAAATGGTAAAAAAATTAAAAACTTCGTAATGACGATGTTCGAAACATTACCCGCTTTTATTATAACGTAATGCTACAAGGTGTGGAAAATAGAAATAGTGTTTAGAAATGTCAATTTCGCCTAGTTGAATAGAAAATTTTTTTTAAATAGTCCGGATGTCGATTTTTTTTCATTTTGATAGATTTGTCCTTTTGAACTTTTTCTACTGTTTTAAGATTCATTTTTTTCTAGAAAACGATTTTTAAATGTTTTCACAGCTTCAAATTCAGCTTTCAATGCTTTTCACAGCAAATAACATGCGGATAGGGGTAATTTAGTTTCATATATTTCTTTAGTTCTACGAAGTTATACTTCTAAATTTAATGCGCAATATAGTAATTAGTAAATATGTAAAGAGTTTTTAATAGATCTAAATCATGAGTTCCCAACCAGGGGGCCGCTCTATCCTTGGGGGGAGTAGAGAGTTTATTTGGTATAATTTAAAATTAAAATAAATACAAATCTATACATATAATAAAATTGTAACTAAGCCGAATCTGTGCATTAAATATTTAAAAAAAAATCTTATTGAAATAAATATTATTATAGATACAGAGGTCGAATCTATAGTTTTTAGAATTTTTGTCTGTCTGTCTGTCTGTTACCGCATCACAGAAAAACCACTGGAAGGATTTTGATGTAATTTGGTATGGTGATAGCTGGTTGTCCGGGTCAACATATAGGATACTTTTTAACGCGGAAAAATGTCTCATTTCTGAAAAAAAATATACAAAAACTGCAATGTAAGAGTATAATAATATGTAAAACACAAGAATCTGGTTTTTGGTCATCTGAACGCGGGCGGAGCCGCGGGCAATGCTAGTCGTTAAAATAATATATAAAATATTTTTTTTTAAATAATATAATAAAAAAATAAAGGGGGGGGGGGGCATGAAAATATTTTTTATAATCCTCAACAGAAGAAAGGCTGGGAAACCCTGATCTAGATAATTTGGTTAACATCAAACAGGTTCTTATTTAATGTATGACATCAAATTAATTCAAACACGAAGTATAACTTTTAACGCTTTTTTTTATATTTTTTATGCAGGCTACTGTTTTTTATATATATAAAAATGTACCGAAATAAACAACTGTATCTTTGTACACGTTATATGTATTTGTTTAATCATAAAATAATTAGGCGTGTACATATTGGCCTGTAACGAAAGTATTTAAAATAGGTATAACAATAATATATAGAATTTTTGTTTTCGTTACGAATGTTCACCTTTTTAAAAATATTGTTTTCGTTTTTTTTGTGTACTTCATTCTTTGAATAGCGCTTTTAATATTATATTTATTGGTGCTTATTTTTCTAAACTTTATGGTAAAGTAATAGATTGAAAAGCAATACTTTCAATAGACCATAGATAATTCATCGTTTTTTATTTACTTTTTTATACTATGTGCAAATTGTTCGCTTGTCATTTTATTATGAATCCGTTTCGTAATTCGATACTTAGCATTTATTTATTTTTTACTAGTATTTTTCTTGTAACAAGAAAAGTAGATCAGCCTAGCTAAAACGAATTAGCAATTACAGTTCCATAATCGAGGAGATATTTTAAAATATATTTTTGTGAAGATGTTTTGTGGTTACAATACAAACCAGTTTGAAGTGTACAATGTGACACATTGTAATGTACGACAGAAAGTGGAATTATTCTTGCAATAATTAATTTGTATTTTCTGGGCAAATAAAGCATTAAAGCATTCTTTAATCACATTTTGTTTTATTACCATCCTTAAGGCGCTGATACATACATACCCTCAATACAGAGTAACCGTGTACCTACATGGTGTGTACCTCAGTCGTACCATTGAAAATTCTGGGATCTCGTCAGAAATAACGAAAAAAATATTTTGCGTTGTTAAAAATACATGGTATAAAATATTTGTATATTCAAAATTTTTATGATCTAATAAATAATTTGATCAATGAAAAAAAAAATCTTTCTTATCTCTACTAATTGTAGTGTGTATTCATAGATGGCGCTGTATGCATTTATGAGTTGGTCAAATATCAAACTCATAAGTCTTATCGACCGAAATTTATTTTCTTTATGCATTTAATTTTTTTTTATACCAGTAAAATAGTTGTACCACTCGCTAGTTATCTGTTGTGTGGCATCTATAAGCTATCTCTTTATGATAGATAATCTGCTCATTATTATACTATTATAACACAACATGATTAACATCATTAATCATTTTTTATAAGTGGATTACAAATATTTTTAATTAGCTATTAGTTGTTATCTGTATTTGGTTTATATAAATTGAATAATAATTAAAAAAAATACACACTCAATGACATGAGCTCTAACTCAAAAAATAATAGTATATATTGAAGAATTCTCTTAATATTCATTTCCAAATCATTAAATCAGCTCTATAGTATCACACATGAACGAATTAACCACATTCGTTCATGGTATCAAATTATTAAATTGTCGTCCGGATTTCATATATTTAGCTGGTATAAAGTTTTAAATGGATATAAAAATTAGAAGTAAAATAAGATACACGTGGCCATATACAATAAGACACTCAGAAAAACGTGCTAATTATAATACGTAAACAGTATGAGTTAGCTGTTAGAATTTGTTTTTAGCTCAAGTGTTGACTTTGTGTTAAAAGCAGAATATAAGTATAAAATATAATAAGTATATTAGTAGGTATTTATAAATTAATAAATAATAAATAGTAGATAAAATATTCTTTCTAATAATTTTCTATGTAGGAGTCTAAAATCTTAAAAGTACTTTCACCATGAAATAATCAGTTCCTTTTAGTTTTTTTTAAATTAAAATAGTGGAAGGACATTATGCAAAAACCGAAAAAAAATATCCGCTAAATTTACGTTTCCTAATAAAAAAAGTTTCCTATTACCTGCGGAACCCTTTGGCGTCACTGTATTATGCAGCATGCATTGAATGTTAAAATTATTACTTACTGTAGGTATAGTCTTGGTTTATTAAGCTTGACATAAAAAATTGATATGAAGTTTGTGTACATTCCATCGCTTCGTGGCAAGCTGTGATGACCGTTGATAAATAATATTTGACAAACATTGCGACATGCTTGAACTAAACCTAGTTCGAGTTAGTCAACAAGTATTAATTTAAACATCGATCATGATTATAAACAATGTGTGACTCGTTGAGCAAACACTGTTTTTATATGAACTTTGACTTTATTTCATACAATTTATTCTATCTTACTCTTAGGATAACATGAGAAATGTAACAATGTAATTAAAATTTGTTTTTGGATTAATGCTAGCAAACATCTATGACGCAATTTGTTTGACATAGAAAACCGTTCTGCGGATTCATGAGGATCTCTGTCAATAAAATCTTAACTATCATTATGCTGTTCCAATGGTGATAACTCCAGCTCTGGTAAGGTAGCAGTGAAAGGTAAGCAGAATCAATCGAAGCATACATGGGATTATTATTATATAATTTGTTGCTATTAGTTGCTAAAACCCTGATTTTATTGCTTTAACGGTTTAAAAAAAAAGTAACTATTGCTATCTTAACGATAGGCTAGCAGTGTTTTCTCCGGATTGGCAAGAATTAAATACAATTAGGTAAACATCAAAATTTGTTGCTGAAAAATAGCGTATGAATATTTGAAAAAACCGTAGAATTGGCTAGACCTGGAGACCTGTAGCCATTTCCACGCTATTTTAACATACAGTTTTTTTTAAACAAGACGATGGCATGGATTTTGTTGCTGGTCGCAAATCACATCAAGACACCCCAGACCCAGAGAGCCAGCAACAAAATACAAACTAAAAATCTACTAGATCTGGAGTCCTGTAGCCATGTATGTTACCTTAACATGCAGTTTTGTTAACAAGACGATGGCATGGATTGATCTTGTTGGATGGAGGCTGTGTGTTGATCCATCAATCAGTCAGAACCAGCACAGGATGCACCTCTCCTTCTCAATTTTTCCTTCTGCTGGTTTAATTTCCAGGTATAATTAATAATACATTGTACAGGTAAGATGGGAACACAATAAATACAAATTGCTAACCTCAGACTGAATGTAAATACGTGTCCCTCCTTTCAAAAAATCTTTCCCATTGATCTTGATCTCCCATAGATTGATTTTGTGATCTAAGCCTTTTAATCTAACCTGCTCTAAGCCTTATATCAGCTGACAAGTGACAATAGTGACATTGACATAAGTGACACTATTTTGCACAGAATAGTGTTTTGGTTGTCAAAGTACACATTGTTTTATAAAAATTTGATAACAAAAATGGATTTAATTGATAGTGATATTCGTCAGTGGGACGTCAATGATGTTAAAGAACAATTTGGTGATAGTCTTATGCTGTTACCCTCCAATGATAACATAAAGGAACTGCAAACAATTCTTCGGGACAAGTAAGTGAGGTTATCATATGCCTTTTTTTTAAATCCTACACCAAAATTCTTCATCGAAGAGTTAAAAAATAGTAACTGCCCATTATTTACTTTTCGTACACATGCTTGGTTTGTTTTAACTGAAGTGAGAAATATCTGTATGATCAACATAATCATTCAGCCCCAGCCCCGTGATGATCTCGAATTTCAATCAATCAATCAATGTAAATCCTTGCAGAAGCAGAGCTTGTTGACATATTAGAAAAAAGAAATGACATTTTGTAACTATGATATTTATTATTAATTACAGAAACACATCTCGAAGTGACTTTAAGTTTTATGCAGATAGGTTAATAAGACTGGTTATTGAGGAGAGTTTGAATAAGTTACCATTCACTGACTGTGAAGTGGTTACACCCACAGGTGCTTTATACAAAGGTTTAAAATATGGATCTGGGAATTGTGGTGTGTCAATTGTTCGCTCGGGAGAATCTATGGAACAAGTAATCAGTTAAATTAATTTTTGTGTTTTTTTGCAGAAGTGCATTGTTCTTTTTTCATTATGAATCTCTATTGCAAAAATTTACTACAAAAGTAGTGAGTGAGAGGATAAATGACTAAAGTTTTATAGAATTCTTCTCAAGTTACTTGCTGAACACAGTACTGCTGCTCTTGAAAAACTAATAATATAAATTAATAATGATTAAGCAAATAAATTATAGATACACCAATTTCCTGCATTTCAGGGCTTAAGAGACTGCTGCAGATCCATCCGCATAGGTAAAATACTTGTAGAGAGTGACAATGATACCCATGAAGCACATGTAGTTTATGCCAAGTTTCCAGAGGATATCGCTAGACGACAAGTTCTTTTGATGTATCCTATTATGTCCACTGGCAATACTGTTAAACAGGTACCTTATTACTATAATAGTTGTTATAGATTTATTAAAAAAAATTTAGTAAAATATATCACTCTCAATGATATTTGATTACTAAGCAGAAATATGTATATGTATGCCCAATACTATACCAGTATCAAGGGCCTTACATATTATAGCTAGAGTAATTAATTCTTCCAATACCAGATAAGAAAAATTGGTTAAGTGTAGGACAAAGTAGTTCAAATAATGTCTAATATGACAAATAGTCCATTGAAAAGTTACATTTGGGGTTGCATTTGTCAGTGGACAGAATTTTATTTTTTAGATATCAAGTAGGGGTTAGTGTACAGTTAAATCCAAGATTGTGGGGTTGCAACCCTTGTCCCACGGCCGCTATTTTAAGAAAAGGGCTACAAATGGTTTTTACGGTTTATCTGACAAACTATAGGTCTCAAAAAAAATTGTAGAGAATAATAAAGAATGTCAGACATTACTTCTTACGTCTCAGTGCTTATCTTACCATTGCAAAAATACATGCATAGATATTTATATTTTTTATATTTTAAGGTAGATAGACTTGTACAACTTTTTGCATCTTACTACTATATAAATGTGACAGTTTGGATGGTTAGATGTTTGTTACTCAATCACGTTGGAACTGAACAGATCTGGATGAAATTTGCCACAGCAATAGAAGAAGAAGAAGAATTCCTTACTATTATGATCTGGAATAGTGCATAGGTTACTTTTTACCCACAAAAATGTGCAGTTCCCGTGGCATACATTTGTTTTTATTTTTATTTTTTTCCGCTAGTTGATAATAATTATGTTATTTTTTATTTTATATTCTACACATCTAATCTTGAAATTAGTTTAAATTTTCTTAGTTTTAAATTAGTTAAAATTTTCTTAAAAATAACACTTAATTTTTCAATTTCCAGGCAGTGAATGTTCTAACACAGCATGGTGTAAAGGAAGAACGTATAATTCTCTCAAACTTGTTCTGCACCCCAGCTGCCGCACAAGCTGTAGTGGATTATGTACCAAAGATGAAAATACTCACTTCTGAACTTCATCCTGTAGCCCCTAACCATTTTGGACAAAAGTACTTTGGGACAGACTGATATGAGGATGACTTTGAGGTGTGAATCCTCCAAAGCAAAGGTACATGACGGCTTAATTTGGCATAATTTCTGTAAAGAATTTATTGATTTTACTTCATTATAATTAATTTTTTTAATGCTGATATTGCCATGTTAGAAAATTCACCATGTTAAAATTTATACTATACTATTATACAGTTCATTTTTTATTGCAGCACAATTGTCTTACGATTCTTAAAACATATTAATGAATTTACTTTAAAGTGTTTGAAAATTAAGCAAATTTTGTGTACTTATGCTAGCCATACAAATGCCAGCTTGTAATTTTGTTATTAATTGTTTTCATGTCCCTTATATTTATGGACTGTCAAACATTGTATGCAATTTTAAATATTCAGGCTGTTCGTATTGTATGAAAAAATCTACTTATTATAATAATAATTGTGAGATGTATTAAGATTATTATATTAGGGTATATATTAAGATAAAAGTGTAATTATTAATATGTAGCGAAATATGAATGTACTCAAAACAAATTCTGATGTTTCTGTGTCTAAGACCTTATAATTTTTAAATGGCTTTGATTTTCATGAATCTTTATTTTATTTAATAGGTATTTTTGTAAATAAAACTATCTTTTCGGATTTATTCGCGGATGTATTTTGATTTTTGGTTTCCGACAATTGGAATGCATTACAGCAATAATTTATGGTCACGGGAGAGACTAAGGTTTAAGATGTCTCAAAGGCATTATATAGTTGTTACAGACAGCCTACATCTAAGAAAGTATTAATAGGTATTGCTTAAAGAATGGGGTTCCATATAAATTTCAATGAAAAATTCTACCCTCAAGGTCGGAAAAAATGATTTTATTTGACATCGGCCAAAATGTGGTTGTGTGTATTCTCACTTTTCATGATCAGTTTGTAGATATGTATTTACGACGTAGACGGTGTTTAGTTATAGATCTGGAAAGTTATATAACAAGTACTGTTGTGCAAGTAATGGAATTTTTTCTAATAATAAAAGTTTTTTTTATTTTGGCACTGCTTAAAACTATTTTTAGTGTCTAGTCTAATTATAATATTTTATGTATGTTTGCAATTTTTATATGTATACGTGAAACAAAACATGTATTAGTAAATTATTTAAAAGTAACTGTTGTTTTGTTATTTTGTATCATTTAAAGATAAATGTTTTATTTTTAGTTTGCAATTATTCAATTTTTTGACAGTCGAAAAGTCACAGGGACAGTACAGGAATCTTTTTCATCTCTTGCTGTGTCAGTATCATAAAGTGTAAATAATTTATAGCCAAAATGCATCTGTTGGCTTTCGAGGAACAAAATGTACGTAACATCATTATTTTTCCTTTTTTCCTTGTTCAGGCTTTTAATTATTGACCAAAAAACTTGAGATCTTTCTAGCCTAGCTCGGGATTCGAACCCAGGACTCAGGAGCTTCTAATATACAAGCGTTTGGTACTTAGTCAACTAAGTAATATTACTTGATTTAATAGTTCTTTAAAAATATTTTGTTATTGTGTGTGTTTGTTTTGTTACTGTAACAATAATTGGTTGATAACAACACTAAAAAAAAAGTAGAGGGGAGTAAAATAATAACAAACGATAAAGTTATTTCGAGCATTTAATTCAGTTTCATAGTTTATACAATCTATGGAGATACATGACGTATTAGATCAGATCACACAGCTAAGCAATTCAAATTGTATATTAATTATAAATAATTAATCTTTTATTAACATTTCAATAATTTAACCCTTAACGATTACCCTTACAAAGTGTTCCCCAGACGTGGTCGTTCCGCTACTGCGATCTCAAAACACAGGTGTTACTCTTAAAATACAAGTCTACGCTAAAAAAATAGTATTTATTATTTAAAAATAGACATTCAATTACATTATTGTAACGATTGGTTCCCATCAGAGAACAAAAATATTTATTATTCATTAGTAAAAACTAGATGACTTTATGTCACTTAACAATTTAGGGTTAGGAAGCTAACGGCCGATAATATGGCAACACTTATGTGTCTAATACGTTATAATTTGAAACGGCCTGCCTTCATAAATAAATACTTAAATAATATAAACATATTTGTCGATATATTTCTTACTTAATCTATGTTACGCGGTTTAAACAATGAACAAGCACTTATATAATAAAAAGCTGGCAACTTCGGGCATACATACGCCTGACGCCATGATTGTCACATTACAACATAAAATATCAAATTGACTTAGATATGTTATTAAGGCATCGTGTGAATTGCACTAGGTCGTAACATCGTACCTATTAACAAGGACTTTACGACAGCCAAAGCGAAACGAAACGATTAGCATACAAATACTATACATAATAGATCCCGAAAATGTAATTAGTCAAACAAAATATATAAATATCTTAAATAGTATAAAAAGCGAAATTAAATATTTGTGCATTCACAATTATATAATATATATATATTTTTTTGTGATTTTCATTGTTTTTGTATAAAAAATATCGTCAACAAGTTGAAGTAGTTATATTTTGACCTTGAAACTTTCGTCGGAAAGGTCGAATTGGTTGCTGGTTCGACGTAAATTGCACCAGTCTCTCGCGTTTGCGACTAACGGTAGTATTGTTTTGTCGCTGCACAAGTACAAAAAAATTTTAGTCACCATCTTCAGTGTTGCCAGGCGTATAGACCAGAATTAACTTATTAATTCTGATTATATTAATGTACTCTTTTATAACTTTAATTTTTCAAGTGTTTTTTAACACCAATTAAGTTTAACAGTACACTTTATTATAATTTTTACAATATTTAGCATAACATTTAATACCTGGCAACACTATTTATATTTTTATTAGTTCAGTGTCTATGACAACAGCGAAGCGGTTATTCAAAATATCAGATGGAGCATAAGCTTTAGTTAATGAAAAAATAACTTATAACTTCCAAATAGTTTTCATATTACGATTAATATTAGCTTCGTTTAGGAATTGACTATAAAAAAATAACTGGTCAAAACTACATGTTCATAAACAAAATATAAGTTACAAGGAGAGCTTCGAATTTAAAAGGAGAGTTAGATACTAATTTATACTATCAAATTTCGTATCTTCGAAGCGACCATATAAATAGGCAAATAGTAAACAATGCGAGAGAGTGGTCGTGTTTGTTTGTATGTATGTATGTGTCCATATTTACATGAGTTTCTGTTTAGCGCACTCCGGACAGATGATGTCCTGGGCGTCCGTGATGAAGCCCTTGCCGACCAGCGAGGTGCGGCACTGCGCGCAGATGAAGCAGTCGTTGTGCCAGTGGCGGTCCTCGAACGATATGAAGCGGGTGCCGCCTATGCCTATATTGTGGGTTGGGATTTAGTTTTTTTTTGATTTTGTGTTTTTTTTGTATAAATAATATTTTTTTTTAGGATAAATAATATATTTATAAGTATAAAATATTCTGTGTTAATTCAAAATTACTATGCCTATTTCACCATTGACCGTATTTTTGTATAAAACTGTAAGGCTATCATTTCAGAGTTTGTGTCTTTTGGTAAGATCTGAGATTCGAACCCTGAACCTTAGAATCTGTAGTGTAGTAAAAACTACTAGACCATGGAGACAATTCCTTCATGTACCACAGGCATGCATATTCTGTTTAACAGTTCGAAGAAGTTAAGAGGACAGTAACGTTCTATGTAACATTACTCTTGCCCCGACCAGGGATTTGAACCCAGAGCCTGCAGCTATATAATATGTAACATAGGCAAAGAAATTGAATTTTTTGTTTATTTTTAAATTCGTAAAAATGTAAGAAAACGTCGGCGTCCTTTAGCTGCGGAACTTGCTGTTTTTTTTAAAATACATATATAAAAAAAATATCATACAACTCACCAGTAATAGGCTTAGAGCATGAAGTGCATCGCTTAGCGAACAGCTCGCCGAAGCAGTCCGCGCAGTAGGGCCGCTCGTCGCGCGACGTGAAGCGCTGTCCCGCGAGCGACATGTCGCAGTTGGTGCACGTGAAGCACTCGCGGTGCCATGGCTCGTGTTTGTATGTTACACCGCCTTGGGTTATGATCTGGTGACAATGATTATAGACGATTATGATTACTGGTGACAATGATTATACACGATTATGATTACTGGTGACAATAATTATACACGATTATGATTACTGATGACAATAATTATAGATGATTATAATTACGGGTGAAAATGCATATAGATAGTTATGATTAGTGACGTCGCCTCGCTTCGATGGCGTCCCTAGGAATATCTAGATGTTTAACAGTCTATGCGCAAAGGCCTTGCAAAGCGTCATTATCTCTTTGTGCATTAAACTTTATCGCAATCGTTCCAGCCGTGTCATAGTGAAGGAGTAGCAAATACAATAATTTCTAAAATTCGTCAGATTCTTATTATTAGATGATTATGAGTTGTCAAATAATAATTACACAGTAGTAGGTACACACATTTTTTTAAGTAACAATTTGAAGACAATCTATCAGAATATACTTTAAAAGTTCGTCTTCAAATAAAATTATTTAACTTACACATTTGCCAATGTCAATTTGGGTTTAACTTACAAATTTCTGTTTACTAATTATCTTTAGAAAATTATAATATAAAGGAAAGCTCTCACTGGAAAACACAATTTTTCAATCCAAATTAAATAAAATGAGTAAACAAATGTTGTAGGCACCATACCTTGTTGCACTTGACGCAGCGAGTGGCGAACTTGTCCTCGTAGCAGCCGGCGCAGTAGATCTCCTGCTCGCGCGGGATGAAGCTCTTGGTGCCGATCGGGTTCTTGCACACTACGCAGCAGAAGCACTTCTCATGCCACTGTCTCGCCTTGTACTCCATTTTCTTGGTTCCTGTAAACAAATGATAAGTTAAATTTGTTTTATTAACACTATATGTGACTCGTTTCGCTCATCCGAGCGAAAGCGTGTGAAAGTGGAAAATTTTATTACTATGAGTTAATCCAGATTGTGATCTATCAGTGTACTAAATTTTAGCGTAAAATTCGTTAAATTAAGCGTGAAGGCGTAACAAATATACACACATACGTTTATAAAATCTTCCGTATTTATATTAGTAGTGTGATTTGGTCTATTCACACATTTCGGTAGTTATAGTAAGTGATTTTTGCCTGATTTAAATAATATTTACTAACATTATTTAAAAAAATCTACTCATGTATATATTTTTAAAGAGAAATATCACATTTATATGAAAATATTCGAAAACGAGTACGCGAAAAGTAAAAATATGGCTTCGTAAAGCATACTTTTTTGGTATTGCTGAAACATATATTTACAAAATCACTTTATAATTTTTGTTTTAACCTTTATAAGGTAACCTCAGCGAGATTGTGAGATCACAAAAAGCCAATTATATACATAATTAAAGTATCTGAGGAGCGAGACGCAATTAAAATATTAAATTCGGAGAAACGCAAGGTGCTTGAGTTTTGACCGGTCAAGGATTTCAAAGAAGGAATGTTGCTAGTTTTCTCATTTTAGTATGTCTTATTGAGGGCAAATAAATATTATTATTATGAATTTATATAATACATAGTATGTTTCCTCGAGCTTTCAAATGAATATTAACAAGCTTTTAATTATAACTTTTAAAGTCAGTAAAGTTTACTGTAGGTAACATATTCGGACAGCTTTAGTCGGTTAAATTAAATGATGACGTGATTCTTTAATAGTAGGTAATAATATGAAGAGCCGCCAATTTTATGGGAGTGGCTTTGATTTATTGAAACAAATTAGTTGAGTATTTATAAAAATACCAAAAAAATTATATAATAACATAGTAGTTTAGTAACAATTCTTTCCTTAAATTATAAGCAAAAAAATACGGCGTTGTTTTTAGAACAATTACCAAATTATATTAAACCACAATAAACAATAACACGTAGCACTATTTTAAGTTAATCAAAGACAAAATCAATTTTTCATTTTATATTTTAATATTTTATTTTATTCAGCATAAAAAAGCAACACTCAAGTAAACGCTGTAACTCTATATTAACAATTAGGAAAAATGTCACAGCTCTGTAATCGACTGCCAGAAAAAACTACATATACATAAAGCAACTATTTAAATTTTATGATGTTCTCCTAGCCGATTCCGGCCACGACGGCCAATCTCAATGAGATTAGCCAACTGCGCAGGAGATATTATAGTGCTCAAGTGTACGCGCAGACACAAGTGCACTCTGTATTCCTATCACTCTCATACTCCAGTGGGACGACCACTCGACACGACCGGTGAGAGTTAAGGCGCAGGACCGACGGCTTTACGTGCTCTTCGAGGCACGGGGGTGAAACACCGCCAACTTCCCAACTCCGGGCTGTTACTGAGACTTACTTTACAGGAAGACTCAATAACTAAACTTGGCCTGACCCGGGACTCGAACCCAGGACCTCCGGGTGTGAAGCCGTACATGCTAGCCACTACACCACCGAGGCAGTTAAATTTTATACTCGACTAGCAACTTTTTTTTTAACTTGATTCCCCATACAAACTTTCATCCCCATTTTCACCCCCTTAAAGGATGTTTTCCGGTATAAAAATCCTGTTTCCTTCCCAGGGTTTCAAACTATCTTCTTACCATCTAAATCGGTTCAGTAGATCCAGAGATCCCTACAACAAACTCACAGTCTCACAAACTTTATCTTCTTATAATATTAGTATAGATTTAAATAATAAAATATAGTATAACATTTTTACACAATCTAGTACACATTGTTTCTGATTTGCGTGCTTTGTATCTATCGTAAATTGCATTGGTAGCGTGACGTTAGGTTTTATCGATGTCCTTGAAAAGCGATGGTATTGTATGGCAATGGCCAGGATATTTGGGCGATGCACGCGAATATGCAGCTTTCAAGGTTCATCGAACTACCTTTTCGATATTTATTTGATGGAACGAGACAGATAATTTACCGCTAGGAAAGTCGAACAGATTTATTACCTAAAGGTAATAAACGAGCTGTTATGTTTTGTTTTTTTGAAATAAAAAGTATATAATAGTTTTAAAACAATTTTATGTAATTAAACTATTATATTTGTGCATATTTATATATTATACCATCCATTTGTTAAAAAATACGCATTTTTTTTGTATTAGATACGTATTTTCAAATTATTTCAAAATTCGATTTCATTAAAACGAAATTTATAAACTACTGTGTTAACTAATATTACAAAATGGTCGTCGATATCGTCATCATATTAATATGATAGAATTCAAGTTAATAAATCTAAGAAATTTATTGAAATCAGCATCATTCGAATAAATTAGAAATGTAAATATCGCATATAGATAGCAAGGTTTACAACTTTAACTCCAGTAATGCGCTATTTCTAGTACATTTACATATTATATTTAAGGCGTTAATCTTGAGCAAGAAATTAGAATAAATGTAAAATATTAATATCAGTATCAGTGTCATTCGTTACGCCCACGAGATACGTATAAAGTATAAAACTATAAACCTATATCTAGTAAAATGCTGGAAGGGATTTTTCAGAACATTATTTATGTAATTGATTATAAAGTACCTAATGTCAACGCTAATAAAAAAAACATTTGTAGAAAAACGTTTGTTGTTTATTGACTTTAGATATTTAAATAATCGATTGCTCATTATATTGTGCTTCCATTAAAACAACAAATCAAATAGGTTTTCAAACGTATAAAGCAATCAATTACAATTTAATTGTATAACAAAGTTCCGAAACTTTTAACAAGGTTCATCGACTTTATAGTTTCGATCGTGATTCGTAAGCTTAATGGCCAAAGTTCGGAGATTAGTGTTACTTGCGTGACTTACGACTTTCTTTGTATCCTTTTAAGTAAAGTTGTATGAAAGCTTAAAGATAATATTTATGACAAATACATCAATGAATATGTTTAAAAATTTAAATGAATCATTTCTATTGAGGTTTAGCTTAGATTTATAATAAAACTAGGGATTCCCCATACAAAATGTTCATCCCCATTTTCACCCCCTTCAGGGATGATTTCCGGGATAAAAAGTATCCTATGTCCTTCCCCGGGTCTCAAACTATCTTCTTATCAAATTTCATCTAAATCGGTTCAGTACATCCAGAGATTACCCCCTACAACGTCACAAACTCACAATTCACAAACTTTACCTCTTTGCTACTATGAGTATAGATGAGTATAGAAGTATAGATAACTGCGAAATTATAAACAAACGTAAGCCACATCACATACGACGGCATATTTCGATTGTCATTACTTTTGATATATAGATTAGGAAGTCACAAAGCTTTAAGAGCGTGTCGTTGCGTGACAACATCGTTTTATTTTGAGCTGATGTCGATACATTCTGAACGTTTGTATCCGCAGGTCTCGGGCTTTGTATAAACTTGTTACGTATTCCGTCCCTGCTCGCTGTTTGATTAAAATTTACATTGTTTTATCGATTTCAGTTGAATTTAGATGAAAGATTAAAATTTAGGACTCTAGGGCATTGAATGTATTTTATATATTAGTAGATTTATTTGCATCTGATGTATTTTGTATGTAACGTGATGAATTTAAAATCAGTAATTACTTAAATATTACCGGCTTCATTATGATATATTGTAATGATACGTAGACACGGTTTTATATTAAATACTCGTATTAGTCATATGTATATAATTTTTCCATGAACTGATTATAAAGCCTCATATGCATTATATAGTAATAAATTACCAGGAAATTAATGACTTTAAACACACAATAATAGCCTAGTTACCATAAAAATGGTTACAATATCGGAGATTTTTGATACAGTGGGGATCGAAAGCGCATAGTTTCAATAAAGAATTAAATAAAGAAGGAAAGTTAAATATGTATTTAAGAAAGTCTTTTAAAAATAATAATTATTAAATACAAGATACAAAAGCAAAATGTACAAGAAAATATCGTAAAAGCTATTTGGTTTGCAAATACACAATGTCCACTACGCACCCACGACTAATATAACTCAGCTTTATTGTTATTTTATAGACTCTACCTTCGTATATTTGCTCTACATGGTATAGTATGGGACGAAATATTTGTTCACATGCTATTAGATTGAAGGAGACATATACATACATATATAAAACATAAGATTAATCGTAAGAAGGAATGAGTTTTAAAGTGTTTTTTTAAATAATATTTTGATTCTATGTGGATTATATTTTACTGGTTAAGAAATAAAGTTTTGACAAATAATTATAAAAATGTAAGTGCAGTTTTATTATATAACTTTTTTACTCTAGACGATTCAAGTGAAATAAATAATAGAAGTTGTTACTATGCTATTGAGCTTTTTGTTATGAAACTTTGACCTGAAGTATACCGAAACTTTACAATATTTGTTTTAATTTATAATTTTAGTATCTTACTATTGTTTCTTTATAAATAATATTTATAATCAGTACATATGATTAAAATTAATTTAGCATTAAATCGTTTTCCGTGTAGAAAATTATAGCAGATCTCAGAGCCCCGTTTTTTACTGAATCACCTCGTTTCTTATATAATAAACTAGCATTGCCCGCGGCTCTGCCCGCGTTCAGATGATTAAAAAACCAAATTCTTACGTTTTATACTACACTACTTAGATACTTACACTACATAGATCACGACTCACGATGCAACCGTATACCACATGTAATTCATAGCTAGTTTGTGTAGCCGTTCTTTGTGATGGTTTAGTGGGACATTGTCGTGTACGGGAACTTAATACCTTTTGTGGTCTACTCCTCTATTGCAGTCACTTGACGACTTTCACTATTGTGAAAACTTCTGACTGCGAAACATGTATCATACTTTTACTCGTTTTGTTGATTTATT